TACAAGAGATGTATTTCTGATGAAGACATAATCGAAACCAGTCAGATACATCTCTTGTATTGTGAAGATATCCAGTCTCATTCATACCTTTTTCTACATTTGTCAACATGGATACGGTTCATCTAAATTTGCTTATTAAGTTTCAAATGCATTCTACTGATGTGTTGCGATATATATTTTGGCAGTATTATTAGAGACTAGGACCAATATTTATTAATATTTACACAGACAAGTAGACTAGGAGAATATGAATATAATACTTTCTAGGTAATTTTATGCAAAAAAAACAAACAAACAGGGAAGGTAACGTTCCTTTAGCCTTTACTTTTAAAGGTCCATAAAATCTTTTATTAAAAAAAAAAAGGCTGTAACTAAGATTTTGAGTATTGTTGTCAAGATTTCATGACATGGATTTTTTCAATCTGGAGAAATCCTTTTTGGTAATGCCGTTCTTGTTGACAAAGTGATGTGGCATAGTGACTTTGTTTTCCACTGACCATAGACTAGCCAGCAAATCTGATGTATGGTAAGTGTAATTTTTCCTTTATTTATATTTGTATTTTATTTGTTTGTATATGTTTATTCATATTTTTCTCTGTTGTTTTGGCATTGTATTTTCAGTATACCCATTGGTTTATGTGTTTGACAGCATTTCTTATAAATGGTAAGTTACCTGTTATAGAGGCAGTAAACTCAACTGACGTAATTCTCAAGATCTGGACTAACACAAGCCTTGTATTACCACACAATTGGATAGAACAAATATGAATTTTGTTGGACTGGTGTGATCCTGTATTTCAAGTGTTAACCATTAAATTGTCATAGCGTTGAATAAAAAGAAGAAAAGAAAAATATGACAGTTCTTAGTTTTTTTATGTATTTTTTTTTATTTATAATCTCTTTATGTAATCAGAATATTATGTCTGGTACTTATCATGAATATTACCCTGACCCATTTAGATTTCCATCCTTCAACCCAACAACAACAGCCAAAAGTTGCGCTGAACAGGTTATTAAGGGCATCCTTTGGGAACTGGAAGTTGTATGCATCCCTGCCAAAGACTTCTATGGTCACAAGATAATGCAGTAAGAACTTTAGATATACATGCACAATTGTATAATTTGTCTTACCTTCTACCTTTGTTCTACTTTCTACTGGTAGATTCCCTTCCGTAACTCCTGTGCTGACTCCTGAGACTGCTGCTGAAGCCATTATCAGTGCTATCCAGTTAGAGAAGTCAGAGGTTTTAATTCCTTTTCAAGCTGCACTGATACATTTTATTGTGCGGTATGAGGCTGTGGTTTATTTTTTTGCATGTACTCTATCCTCAGGTTACTTTTAGAATTCAAATCCTCTATAGTTTGCTGTAGTATTCCTTGAGTTATGCTTTTTCAGTACAGTGCTCTAAGTTATTTGTGAAATATCTTTTTAGAGCATATATGTATAAAATATTTTTATTATTACTATTATTTTTTTGGAATTTCAAGCCTACATGAGAAACCACATGTAAAAGTGTTAATTGAATAATTCCATTTTCACTCCATTTTAGGTTTTTACCTCGAGAAGTCCAGAAAGCTTTCCTGGATTTCATGGATACTGGAGTGGATGAACATGATAGCTGATAAGCTACTTGGGGAAGCAAGTGAAAGTTGTTGAAAATGGATAGTTAATGCATTAGTTACTGAAGTAGAAATATGCACATGGGTCAGTTCATTTTTTTCATATAATTGTTAATGTTTACTGTAGGTTGTATGGCATGTACTTGGTATTCATGTTATGAATACCTGTGTTTGGTTTTGAAGGAGTCTTTCGTAATGAAATCGGAAATGTAAGTGATAGGATAATGTCTTAGAGTGAGACTTTTTCTTTAGAATAAGTGATTATTAAAAGGGACTGAAGTGTAGATGATTATGATAATCTTTAATCCACTTGTGTGATCAGGAAATATCTCTAGCTGGATATTTTTTGGCTAATTACTAATGAATACTATATTATATAAGGGTGATGGTGAATATTGGTTCTTTTTTTCTTTATATCAAGGTCATCAATAACAATAACAATAGACAGAATAACAATATATGGAAGAGTTTATGGAGTAAGGACCACTTTCCACATCAGAAGTCTATCCATTATAACAAAAAAGGAAAAATATGGAAAGATAACACTTGCATACAATTTAGGGCAAATTAGAATCCAATTTTTAATATTAATGTTCTTTATGTATATGGTGTTTCTCATTTAATAACATACAGAGGGCCCTATTTGTTGTGTTCAAAATTAAACATGTATGTATATGTATAATTCTAATTATATCAGAGGAAAAGGAAGAATGAAAAGGAAATAACAAACCTATACACATTAGTTCATTTCACTTGTAATCTAATTACTACTTTATTTTCTTGGAAAAAAATTCTTGCAAGAAGTTTCTCTTCTCTTTGATTCGACAAAGAACTGAAAGGAAGATTACAATAAGAAAATGGTTGAAATATTTCTCGTCGAGTATTTCCTTGTTTGACCAAACTAACTTAACCTTTTCATAACTGCCATTGTTTACCAAAGGTCTTTCTCACCTCTCGGGCATCAGATACAAGTGATCGGGTGTTTCATTACTTTGGACTCGAAAGACACAAAAGAATTTTACATTAACTCTTAATTATTGTATAGTTGGGCTGCTATTCTAGATACCTCAGTGCTTAGTCCCATAGAAAAAGGCGATACTTTTGTGCAAGGTTCCCAAGTAATAGACCTGAATGATAAATTTGTGCTGATACACTAGCAGAACCCAGGACCCTTACATAAATCTTTGTTAATGTATATCTTCCAAGCAGGGCATTTAAGTGTATTGCTGTGAAAAGAGAAGTTGAAGCTTTAAACACAGATGCTTTTTCTTCCTCTCTCAACTGTGATCAAATTAGGAGTGTGAAACTTTCCATTGTGATAGCTCTGGGAAAGGTTTACTTGTTTTTTTTTTTAGATTTTGTGATTCTTAGAACTCTAGTGTGTACTGTGATTAGTTTGACAAAATAATATTTTTATTCCACTGCCTTTCTATAGGAAAAAAATATACAGGAGAATAAGACAAAATTAAAAACATGATTCCTCGTGAGTACTTAATCAGGTAGATCATAATTGTTTGTAGCATAACATTCCACAAATATGGCAAAGGGAAGTAAATGTCAGAAGGCATAGCAATAGTCCTGTTAATATTTAGATGAATGAGAGCTGTATTTCAATAAATAACTAATATTTTCTTTTGAAATTTAGGAGGTAATAGTCAATTTTTGGCCGAGTTCTATTTTCATACTACTTTGTGATAAAATCTTTGTGGATAAAGCAAGAATGATCTCCTAAGGTAGATATGGATACAGAACTTTATATAATATGTTAACTACTACAATTTCAATAAAAGTGTTCAAAGATGTGCTGTTTTATTTTTGCTCCATTCTTTCTAGATGTCTTTTCCTCCAAAGACATGTTTAGCAAAAGGTAGATAAAATGGATATAAATACAGTCAATGTAATCTTAACTATTATGTGATGGTTGATTAGTTTTTTTTAAGTAAGATTCATTTCCTTTGTTTTCATTCAAAAATAATAACTAATTATAAGCAATACTGGAATGTAGTAAATGCAAGTGTAATAATGAAAAATATTCTTTTACAATAGAAAATGACCAAGTAACAAGTATCAGGAAAAAAAATCAAATACCTAAATTACCCAAAAATCAACAAAATAATTCAAGTAAGTAATGAAAAGGATGCAATTGAAACACCACAATAAAAGATATACCAAGGCTCTTTTTTCTTTATTAAGCATAAAATATAACTTCTTACAAACTGATAACAATTACATGGAACTAATGTTAAAAACAACAAATTAGTAGTGTCTTTTGTGTAGACCACAAACCTATGGTATTGTAGCACCCCTTAATTTACTCGTTTTCAATTACCTGTATAGTACTTATCCATATTCTATTTGCTTGTTACCCTGCAAGTATTAAAATTCATGGAGACAAAGCTGCTCTTGATTTTCTTGTTTTGTAACAACCAGAAACCTGACTGACATTAATGGTAGAAATCACATGCATTTTCTTCAAATATAATAAACAATAATTCAAGATTTACTTCAACAGAAATGAGAAGTCTGTGGCAACAGGAAATTCCTCTGGTTGCTTGCCTCTGAAAGTCAAGAAATGTTCATTTGAATACTGTTCATGAATTTTCTGCCACATAACAGGCATAAGAAAGAAAGAAAGAAAAGGAAAAAACAAAACTGCAAAAGTGCGTTCTGTTGAGGGGAAGAGTCGTCAGTACGATCACGAAATCCATTTTCCGGTCCTCCTTGCTTTAGTTTTTAAGCTAGGTTATTAATTATTTTACGCAATGTGCATGGATATGTGATGCTTATGTACAAAAAATTTTACTTGAAAAAGCTGCGAAAATTTTTGCGCAAAAAAAAAAAAAAAAAAAAAAAAAAAAAAAAAAGCACAAGATTATAGAATTCACAAATTATGTAATAGATTCCTTATAGTGAATAGTACTGCAGTTTCCTTCTGACCAGAGTTAGTCAACAAATAGGAGTACCAAATGTAGCATTTATGTAAATCTATCTGAAACAACACCGTTTCAGTTACCTTGCAAAAAAGTGCCTTTTTTTTCATCCGAAAATCGCCATCATTTTTTTTCAGTAAAAAATGTATTTGGTGGAAATAATGCATGACCTTGCTACAGTTAGTAGCTACGAACTAGGCGATCATTTTGCAACAAGAATTATGAAAATCGCATAATTACATACAAAGTTAACCTTACTACCATGCGTGAAAATATGATTTTGAGAAAATAGCAGTTTTTGTCATTCATCTTCATGACACCATAAAGGTCAAACTAATGATTACCAACTGTGAATATTTACTTAGACAATTCCTTGGCTTTTAATAGGAGTCCTGTGGTAGAAGGTCAGGCCTTGTTCAGGTAATTTTAGGTCATCTTTATGTAAAGGTT